ACCCTGAAGCCTCTAAACCATGTATCTTATCTGTCTAGAAATGGTTACGATTTGTTCTATGGTAGCATCTAAAAGATTCAGGCAGTAGCTTGGTCCCTTGTACTTTGCACTGTCTGAAATTTGCCTGTCCCAGTCGGGACAGATGAGCTAGGCAGGACATTTTAGGAAAGGGGAGGACTGAAGTGTCTCTCCCAATGTTATCAGAAAACCCAAGAGCAGACCTCAGAGGTCTAGAGGATTCCTGGTGCTGTAGCCCTGGGAGCACGCTGCTCTCCTGCCCGTACATCCTACCGCACAGCTTTCTTAACACCGTTGGTGTTATGAGGGTCTCTCCTCAGCCTTTGAAGCATGTGAGCTCCTCGCATTGCAGACCCACCTGGGGTGTGTGGTGTGGCAATGGCTGGAGGGGACACCCGCTCACGGGGTGAGGTGTGGGGTGTGTTGAGCCCAAGACTGGCACCAGCCACCCTCAGGGAGCAGGGCTGCCCTGGCCATTCTGTGTAACTCTGGGCTGGGGGACACAGGATGGTTTGCTCTCAAAGCGTGAAGAATGTTTTTTTAGGACACTGGAAGAGCTGCTTCTAAACTGCTGAAGTTGTTTGGAAATCTAACCTATGCTAAGTAAGCCCTTCAAGTTAATATAGTCTTTTCTTAACCTGCAATTCTAGGATGAGCTGGCAAGGCTCTTGACACTGGGGTGCAATTCCTGGCCAGCCGCATGAAACATCCTTCCTGAAAAAACTCAGGAGGGACCAACCTGGCCATTCTCTTTGTAGCCATTTTTTTTTGCATAGTAAAATGTGATTTCTACTGAGCTGGTGACATTGAGGAATGAAAGACTGAATTCTGCTTTCCCTGCTGAGAGTCAGAAATAGATCTGAGGAGATGATGACTCACCTGTAATTGAGAAAAACTGAATGGCATCATCCTAGGCTTTAACAGTTAAATCCTGATTTCACCTGCCAGCAAGAACAGACTGACAAAGCTGCAAAAGGCCAAAGTGAGCCGGAGACAGGGCATGAGAATCATTTGCTTTGTTACAGTGTTTTGCATGTAAGAGGCTGAACATGCCTGCTACACATGTACCCCATGTGATCTGGCAGTGGCACTGCTCCCTGCATGGGGACACGGAGCTGCACGGACAGCGGGGCGGGAGAAGAGCTGGTGTGGAGCCACGAGAAGCCCCCAGCCCCGACCAGAGGCCTGCTCCGTGCCAGCAGTGCATGCGTACTCCTCTCTGCGACTTTCCCTGCAGTTCCCATCCGAAGCAGAGATGATGTCAGAGTTGTCATGGCATCGGTATCTATGGAACCAGGATCATCATCGTGGTGCTATGAAAACTAACTCAGGAGATGGTCCTGCAGCCACGGGGGGGAACTCCCTTTGCAGTAATTGAGGGTTTCCCTCTGTAAGGTTCCTCTCTTTCTTCCTTCCTCCTGTCCCTGGGGAGGGAGCAGGGATGGGACTTGGCATCCTCCTGTCCCACAGCAGCTCTGGGTGCAAGAGCTTCAGCCCATCAGTCTTCCCTTACCCCAGCTAACGGGTGCATAACCGCATCCCTCTCCGTGAAGCAGCCGCCAGCCCTTTCCCTCTGCCACTGCACTCAGCTGAAGGCCCCGCACCGGCTGCCCACGGAGCACCTTGCTGTGCTGCGGGGCCAAAAGCCCTGCCTGTGCCGAGGCGGTGCCAGAGGTGGCAGCAGCCCCTTTTGCTGTTACAGGGCACAGAAAGGGTGTTTCTCTGGAGGGAAGCAGGGTGTGTGTCTGCAGCAGGGGTGAGCTGAGCAGCATGGTGACCTCCTTGTGTGCTGGGCCCCTGCATCTACCCCAGCCCTGTGGGTTGCCCTGGCCATAGCAGTGTCCTGGTTTGAGTGACCAGTGGGGTTTTTTGGCCTTGTCATTGCAGGGTGACGCGGGCACAGCATGGTGACCCTCGCAACAACACCCTACCCCAGCCTGTACCGTGCTCCCCCCAGAAGCAGTGTGATGACCTGAGAGAAGGTTGCGGAGGGGGGTGGGGGGTGAGTCTCTTGAACCAAGGAACAAGCACCAGGACAAGAGGGAATGGCCTCAAGCTGCCCAGGGCAGGGTCAGGCTGGCTCTGAGGAAGGATTTCTGTGCAGAAGGGGCTGTTGGGCGTTGGAATGGGCTGCCCAGGGCAGGGGGGAGTCCCCATCCCTGGAGGGGTTGAAGAGTCGGGTTGACCCAGCGCTGAGGGATCTGGTGGAGTTGGGAACGGTCAGGGTGAGGTTCATGGTTGGACTGGAGGAGCTTCAAGGGCTTTTCCAACCGAGATGATTTTGTGACCGTGGCCGCAGCATCCTCGAAGCAGCGCGGTGACCCCGGTGGGGTGAGGTAACCTGGCCCTATACCCTGCTGTCCCCAACCACAGCACGGTGACCGCGGCCGCCGTGAGCTGTCCCCAGCACGGTGACACCGGCTGCCCAAGGGCCGCATCCCGCCGCCACCCCTCGCTCTCGCCGTGCGGGGCTTTGGCGAGGCGCCGGGAGC